TCCTTCCTTCCTTCCTTCCTTCCTTCCTTCCTTCCAAATGGATAGTTTACAGTACTGACTTGGCTATACAACATTAATGGCTTTGAATTTGTAGATTGTTACTTAATTTTAAGTATGGATGTTGTATTCATAAGTTATAATTATTTGTGTAAATATATGTTGGGCACGTCAGTATTTTTTAATATTGGCAAATAGTGTCAGCAGTTTTGTATACACTAGCTTGTGTCCATTCAAGTACTTGGCAAACTCATTAGCACATCTGACTATTGTATACTCATTCAAACCATCAATTACATTTGCAAAAAAAGGTGGGGGAGCTCTAATTCAAGCCTAGATAAATCTCTTGGGAATAGCAGCCATAATTTGCATTTGTGTAACTTCATGACTGTCTACTTCTTTAGAGCTGATCTTGAAGAAAATTCAGAAAGTTCAAGAGCCTTTGCATTTCTTGACTAGCAAAAGAAATACAGATAATCCTTGTTTAATGACGCTAATTGGGACTGCAACTCCATCATTAAGCAACACAGTCGTAATTCAAAAAACCATGTCACTATGTCATTTAGCGACAGCAGTCCTGGTTGCCATCATTAAGTGAGGACTGCACAGGTTGTTAAGCAAGGACTTCACCTGACCACGATTTGGACTTCCTGACGGCTTCCCCATTGCTTGTCAGAAGCTGGCAGGGAAGGTCACAAATCACAATCCTGTGACCATGGGATGCTGCAACGTCGTAATTGCAAGCTGGGTGCTGGGCACCAGATTGTGATCATGTGACCGTGGGGATGCTGCGACAGCCATAAGTACAAGGACCCACTGTAACTATCACTCATTCAGCACCATTGTAAGTTTGAATGGTTGCTGAATGAGTGGTCATTAAAGGACCACCTGTAAGAAACAGCCTATTTTGCTGCAGTTTACCTAGCCAATTTTATACTTCCTTTATTATTTATTAACTGGTATGTATCCTACTTTTCTATAAAAAATAAATCCAGGGCTTCTTACAGTCACTGTATCAGAAAATAAAAAATGTTGGAGGCCTTATAATAACTCTACAAATACTATCTAAAATTAAAAGAACGTTTCAGTACCATCTGAAAACAAAATGAAGGAACTGAGCTAGGCATTTTTTTAATCTGATAAGCAATCACATGACAATGATTGAGAGACTATTTCTTGTTAAATGCCTAGACAATCCCATGGTTCAATGAAAGGAAAATCCCTTGGTTTTCTTTTGACAATTTATAATAACAATATTGAGAAGCATTCTGTCTTTCTAATTTTTCTTCTTCTCTTCAACTGTGCTTGTGATTAGCAAATTAAAACCCTGAAGTTTATGTATTCATATCGAAACATCATTGCTTGTATATTTAATATGAACATTTAATAGCTGATAATTCTCAGTTTTTAAATTATTTTCTCAAATATGTCTGTGATGGAAAGTAACTTAACATGGGAAAGGTTTGGGTATAGTGTGCCTTTTTCCAATCTCATGGGATGTTTCAGAAAAAAAACTGTGTAAAGGGGCTTGGGATTCTGACTGGCATTGGTGTGATAATTCTTCAAAAACTAAACCAAACAATATCAAATTCTGTGTGAATGTGAAAGAAAAGTTAGGTTTGCTAATGGCCCAACTTTGGGTAAGCACTGCAGAGAAATTCCAGAAAATTTCTCCCAATGCACCCCCACCAGCAAAGCAGTTGGCTAGTGGCTCCAAATGTTGTCAACTTCTCCTTGTCATCCCTTCAATACTGTAACAGCTGTATACTGTCTTCAGGGCTATCACCATACTCCTCTATTCCTACATGGACCAGGGTGTTTTTTTTACTTACTTTGCAGGAGTAAGCCTCATGTTTCTGATGTTTCTCATAATGTATGAAATTGTCATTAATGATTTTCAAACAAACTAGAAAATGAAAACCTACTTATTACAGCTCAGTGAGATGTCTAAACGAGGCCACTGTGACTTATTGAATAAACTCTGGAATAAAATATCCTGGCATGATGTTAAGAACAAACCTGGCCATTGTTTCCAGTCTGGACATAAAGGAAGCTATAATTAAATTAGGTTTCCTGATCTGTTTCTTACTCCAGTGAAGTCAATGTAAGTATATATGAAGCTAGATCATATTTCACTTTATAAAATAGAGAACTGGTTGCCTGAACATAACTATTGTAACTCTAGTGGCTCCTTAATATGGTGACTATTATTTATGTTAGAAATAGCGTGTCACAAGCTTTATTTTAGTGAATTAAAATATATAGGCATTAAAAGCCATTCAGAGTTCATTTGGTAGATGGGGAGAAAAAGAACCAGAAATTTGACAGGTTGCTCAGTAAGTGTGATTTCTACTGAGAATTATAAAATCAGGTGCCCTTTACATTGCTGAGATATTAATATGATACATTTAAAAGGTTAGTGTTAAGATGATGTTTCAAAATCTGAAAATTAACTGTAAGGATTAATGGGCACGACTTTTTATATTTTGCTCAGACGATAAGGTATTGTGATGGTATGTGGGAAAGACCTTGGGACAAGAAATGCTGCCTAGGTAATGATCAGATAAGAGACAGCATACCCCGCAGCTGGATAGTAGATGGGCAAGAGGTTCAGAGGACAGCTCTCTTTGAAGCAGCACACCAAGGAAACTTCATTGGCCCCCTCCCAGGAGCTCCGAAGGGGGGGCCCTCCACCATTTCAGGAGAGCTCAGTCAGCTGAAAGCAGGCAAGCATTCTTAATTACTCCTGTTATTGTTACTTTAGATACCAGGCAGAAGATGGAACTTTCTGCTCTTGTAGACTCAGAGGCAACCACTAATTTCATAGATATAGAAATAGTACAGACACTAAAGTTGCCTATTCAAGCTCTAGAAAGCCTAATTATAGTTGAGACGATTGACAGGCAGCCACTAAAATCAGGGCCGACTTTGCAGTGCACGGCTCCTTTGCAGCCGACAATCAAAGATCACACAGAATTAATAACGCTCTATGTAACTGACTCCTTGCAAGTACCCATCATCTTGGGAATAGAGTGGCTTCAGCTGCACGATCCAGATGTAAGTTGGACACAAGGGACACTCTCATTCCCCTCCCCTAAATGCTAGCAGCATCACTTACAAGCAGTGCAAGCTTACCCCCCCCCCCGACTCCAGTGCAGAACAAGGGAGGATCGGCACTGCCAGAAAAATATGCAGACTTTACAGATATGTTTGGGAAGGAAGAAGCAGCCATATTACATGCCCCCCCCCCCATCAAGCATGTGATTGAACCATCAATTTAGAGCCAGGAGCCCAAGTCTCAGCAAAGAGACAGTATTCCATGTCTACTTACAAGTTAGCTATCCTCAAGGAATATTTGGAGATCAACATCAAAAAAGGATTCATTCGCCCTTCCAACTCACCAGCGTTGGCACCTATGCTTTTTGTCCCCAAAAAACAAGAAGCAGCAGCCACTCTGAAGGGTAAGGAGGGAGCCCCCACATACCATTCATGACTACAAAGACCTGAACAGAGTGACAATTAGAGACCATTATCTATCCCCACTTATCCCAGATCTACTAGACCAGATACAAAAGGCATGCATCTTTACAAAGCTAGACTTGAGAAGTGCTTACAACCTAATCAGCATGAAAGAATGACACAAGTATTTAACAGCCTTCAATGCAAGATACAGCAAGTTCAAATACACAGTGATGCCGTTTGGCCTGGTTTACTGTGTAGCTGTTTTTCCTAGATTCATGAATGACATATTTTCAGACCTTTTAGATAAATATGTGATGGTGTACTTTGATGACATATTAGTTTATTCTGAAGATCCCTCCTTGCATGTCACCCATGACAGAAATGTACTGCAAAAATTACAGGACAACAAACATTTTGCCAAATTAGAAAAATGTGCATTTGACCTGCCTCAATTAGACTACTTGGGCTACAGAATCTCCACAGAAGGTGTACAGATCCAGCAAAGGTACAGTCTGTTCTGTCATGGCATCCCCCTCCCCCCTCACGATAATGTGAAATATATTCAATGCTTTCTGGGCTTTGCTAACTTCTACAGGAAATTTATCCCTAATTTTGCTAACCATGTAAAACTGCTGTCCCAGCTCCTAAGAAAGGGTCAGTGATTCTCCTGGTTGACCCAAGAGCAAGTGGCATTTCAAGAGTTAAATCAACTCTTTGCTTCTCAGCCCCTCCTCTGTCATCCTGACCCCTCCCACCCCTTTGTGATGCAGACAGATGCTTCAGATGTGGCAGTAGGAGCAGTCCTGCTCCAGGCAAAGAAGGGAGGGGGCAGATTTACTACCATGTGCCTTTTACTTCAGAGTGCTCCTCCCAGCTGAAAGGAACTATGATATTTTCAATAAAGAGTTGCTGGCAGTAAAAAATGCTATTTGACAATGGATATACCTGCTGGAAGGAGCAACCCACCCTATACAAATTCGTACAGGCTATAAGAATTTAGAGGTTCTGCAAAACCTATCACCCCTCGGCAAATCAGGTGGGTTTCCCGCTTTGATTTTTATATCTCATGTTCCAGGCTCCCCAAACAAACTTCCAGATGCCCTCTCATGTAAGCTGGAGTATGATGTGCCCCTGTCACACACATGCACACCCTGGCAATGATACTCCAGCCATGCAACTTGGAGTTGCATCATAGATCAGACCAACATGAAAAGCTGGGAGCAGGAATACAGGCTGTTGATCTACTAGATTAGGGCGCAACAGCAGCAGGATGCATACGCTAGTGCCCAGACGGATGACCTCAGGGAGCCCAACAAGGTATTGTGCCTTTCACAGTGAAGGAAGAGCAGCTGTTGTACAGTGGATGTTTATATGTACCTCTTCCCCCAAGGGAGGAGGTACTACAGCTGTGTGACAACAGCAAACCAACAGGACACGGGAATATTTAAAACCCAACATAGACTTTTCAGAGAGTTTTGATGGTCTCACGTCCATGCCAACATGAAGGATTCTGTTTCCTCTTGTCATATCTGCTATACAGCAAAACCAATCCCTGGTAAGCCAGCTGGGTTATTGCAGCCACTAGAGACCCCATTGCAATCTTGGGACACTGTTTCTCTATATTTTACCACTGAACTTCCCCCAGTGCAGGGATATATTAGCATACTGGTAATATTGGATTTATTTACCAAATTGGCTCATTTTATTCCTTCCAAGGGCCTCCTAATGACCCAGGAAACAGCTCAACTCTTTTTGGAACACAACTTTAGATATAGAGGATTGGTCAATCATGTGATCTCAGAAAGAAGTCGGTTCACTTCCAAATTTTGGAAGGCCCTCTTGCATTTATTAAATATTAAAATTCATTTGTCTTCCTTGTATCATCTGGAGTCCAACAGAGACTCTGAGAAGGTTAACCAATTGTTGTAGCAATATTTAAGATGCTATATTTCATACCAGCAAGACAACTGGACTGTTCTCATACTTCTTGCTTACAACAATGCAACACACTCCTCTATCGGTATGTCCCCATTCCAGGCAACTTGCGGATTCCACCCACAGGTCTTACCAACAGCTAGGCAAGAAAGTCGTTCCTCATGCCATAGATTTCCTGTATAAGAGTCAAGCAGCCCATAGCCTCTTAAAGGAACAGCTAGAACTAGCAAAGGCCAATACAAAAACTGCAGATCCACTCAGAAAAGAGGGAGCTAGAATTGCAGAACGGGATTTGTGTGGCTTTCTATAAAGCTGCTCACTTCCGCAAGACCTTCCAAGAAGCTAGACTGGAAATTTTATTGGCCCTTTCCCAGAGACTAAGCAAATCCAGCAGCATTCTGTTTGTAATTGCCAGTATCAGTGAAGGTTCATCCTGTATTCCATTGGTCTTTGGTAGTGAAAGAGGCAACCCCCTGCACTCTGCAGACAGCATCCCCCCACACTGGTAAATGGAGGAAGAGTATGAGGTGGAAGTGGTGCTAGACTCTAGACGCAGAGAAGCAGATCAAGTACTTGATAGACTGGAAAGTTGGAGAGGTCATGGGAAGCAGCAGCGGACATGCATGTACCGCTATTGGTGCATTGCTTTCATAACTAATGCCCTAATAAACCCCCTCCTTGACAACTACTAGCCTTGCAGGAGTTAGGTGCTGACCAAGTAGGGGGTATGGGAAATGAGCCAGCATTTTCCACATCAGGCATATAGGACATAAGGGAGGGAGACCAACAGATTCCCGATGGAGGGGCAACTACCACCTCTACAGGCACAGCTGATTTACTGGACGCTTCGTGTGATCTCAGGGATTTACCAGAAGAAAGGAGTGATGCAGTTGCATTTCATTCTCACAGCCCATAATCAGTTTCCCCTTGAACTTGGGAGGGGGGGATGAGTCTGAAGGAATGGTATGTGGGAATTACTTGGGAGAATGGGCCAAGAGACACAGCCTAGGGAACAGTCAGACGAGACTGCATAGCCTTCATCTGGATAGTGGGTGTGGCAAGAGGCTCAGAAGAGACTCTTCCTAGTTTCTCAGGCTGTAAAGGAGATGGCGGGAGAATTGTACTTTCAGACTTGCAAGATTCTATTAATGTAGCTTTACAATAAAGTA